CTCGATCCCAGGACCCCGGGATCATGACCCGAGCCGAAGGCAGACGCTTAACGACTGAGCCACCCAGGCGCCCCCCCTATTGTACATTTAAGAGGGGTAATTGGTAATCTTTTTCTTGAAAGGACAAATAGTAAATATTTTAGGCTTTGCAAGCCATACTGTCTTCTGTCACTCTTAACTCTTTGTGACACAAAAGCAGTCATAAGCCATTGGTAAATAAATGAGCATGGCTGTATTCCAGTAAAACTTTATTTACTAAAATAGTCCTATTGGTAGCTTGCCAAACCCTAAACCTTTAAAGAATTGTCTGATATAATGTTGGTGAGGAACAATGTATGTACTTGTGGTTTTTTGTTTGTTTGTGGGGTTTTTTGGGGGGGGGCCAGCAAAACAGAGTTTATTGAGCATAGCAAAGTGATAGTACAAAGCTCCCGAGGAGGGAGGGGACCCGAGAGGGTTGCCTGCAATGTATGTACTTGTGCGGGAACCTAGTAGTATGTCAGATATAGTTTTTACATTAATTTCCAGTCTTTTGTGCTCTTTGCTGATTTTCTTGTGGATCTTAAGGAAATAAAGAACTGAAGGACTAAAACTTAGTCTTAGAACTTATTCTGTGAGACAAGTGAACCCAAAGACAGAATGGGGGACAGCAGCTTCAGGAGGAAAGAAGGGATGGATTAGCCCATGGAACCTTCTGAGAAGACAGAGAATATAACCTGTCTAGGAATGAGATCTAATTAATGTGGGGAGGTAGTAATGGATGGGAGCTGTGGGGGATGGGATAGGATAAGGGATATGATGATGTGATAGCATAGGGATCTGTTCTAGTAAAAAGAACCCGGTGGTTTTGGAGCATGGAGAGATTTTGGTTGGAATCATGGACTTGCCATGTAAGTAATGGACTAACTTGAGTGGGCTTAGGCAAGGCACTTTCCTCTTTGAGCCTCAGTTACTTATTTTTTTTTTTAAGACTTTTTTTTTTAAGTAATCTTTACACCCAATGTGGGGATCAACTTAGAACCCTGAGATCAAGAGTAGCACGCTCTACTGACTGAGCCAGCCAGGCACCTCTCAGTTACATTTTTTATAAAATGGTGATGTCATAACTTAACCTTGAAGTGAAGATTAGAAATTCATGAATGTTAAATGGCTGAACCGTAACTTGCATGCACATAGTAAACCCGTGTTATTCCCTATCATTTCTTTGGTCTTATTTGGTTTAAAAATGTCATTGGTGTTTGAAAATTTGGATACTATCTAATGGGAATATATTAAAGGCATAATCTGTTTGCCTCAGAGCATAAAGTTACTACCCATTAACTGTCACAGGTACAGATGCATATACTTATTTCAAGATGTATTTTGGCTTATTTCTTTTCTCCAGGAGAGATTTTTTAAACATTATTATTTGAGGGGAACATTTTAAGTAATTGTTTAGCTGATGGTTTTAACTTCTTTTGAAATGCTTGGGAAAAACTCACCAGTTTGGGTCACTTACAGGTTTATTGTCTAAAACTGAGAAGTTAGGAAAATTGCATTGGTTGAAAGGTTTAACAAGCCCTATAATTACATTGGGAGCCTGTAGGTATATAATTTTGATAACTATTTCAGCCTCTATCATTTTAACTTTTTATTTTTTATTTTATTTTATTTTATTTTTTTAAAGATTTTATATATTTATTCATGAGAGATAGAGAGAGAGAGGCAGAGGCAGAGGGAAGAGCAGGCTCCCCGCGGAACAAGGAGCCCGATGCGGGACTCGATCCCAGGACCCTGGGATCATGCCCTGAGCTGAAGGCAGACACTTAACCGACTGAGCCACCCAGGCGTCCCAACTTTTTATTTTTTATTAATACTTTATTTTTTTAGAGCAGTTTTAGGTTTGTAGCAAAATTGAGAAGGCACAGAGATTTCCTATATTCCCTGTCCACTCACATGCACAACCTTCCCTATTATCAACACCCACTGCTGGAGTGGTACATTTGTTACAATTGATGAATCTACATTGACACATTATAATCACCCGAAGTCCACAGTTTACCTTAGGGTTCATTCTTGGTGTTGTACATTCTTTGGGTTTGGACAGATATATAATGACTTGTATTCATGATTATAGTATCATACAGAGTATCTTCGTTGCTGTAAAAATTCTCTGTGTTCTGCTTATCTATCCCTCCCTCCCATGTGCATGCCCCCTCCCCACCCCCTGGTAACCACTTTTTATTGTCTTCATAGTTTTGCCTTTTCCAGAATATATGTATGTAATCATATAGTATATATAGCCTTTTCACATTGATTTTTTTCACTTGGTATATGCATTTAAGTGTCCTGCATGTCTTTTCATGGCCTGATACCTCATCTCTTTTTAGTGCTGAATAATATTCTGTTGTCTGTATATACCACACTTGATTTATCCATTCACCTACATCTTGGTGGCTTCCAAGTTTTGGTAATTATGAATAAAGCTGCTTTAAAAATCCATGTGAAGGTTTTTTGGGTGAATATAAGTTTTCAACTCCTTTTATATTAGATTTAAATAGTTAAACTAAGTGGTATATTACTACTATTTATTGCTATGAAATTACAGTAGTTAGAATTAGAAAAAAACTTATTTTTCATATCTCATCCTTAACAGTTTTATGACTTTTTTCCATATGTGCTATCTAAGTAGTAAAAGCCTTTGCCAAGTTTACTGTGCCTATGATTTGACCTTTTCCTTTTGGTCTCAACTGAACACCAGTGTTCCTCATTCAACTGAGGCAGAAATAGTTTCCTCTGAGGTTATTGGGTCATGAAATGCCTCTTGAGTAGACTATATCCTACATTCTGTATGCATTAGCTTTTGCTCCCAAAGACCTAATAAAATCACTATAGCATGTTAAACTGGGACAAAGTTTTATTGGGAAATTATAATAGATATTTGTTTTACCATTAATTCAAAGAAAAATGCTATGATATTTTGAAATTTTGACCATAAAACATGACAATTTTTTTTTCTTAAAAGGTACCCCGAACTCTGTATTTTTATCTTATTTTCTGTCTTTGGCATACATGCCATATGCTTTTTATGTCATTGAGGTAATGGTATACATATAATTAATTATATTTTTTAATGATTCTCTTTAGAAATATTCCTCAGTTTTCTAATGTGAAACTCACAACTATGGTACAAAGTGTGTGTAAAGTGCTTTTGAAATTCACGTGGTAGTACTGATTAGGTAAATATTCTATCTGAAATATCTGTCTAGTATTCTGTGTAATCCAGAGAGGTGTTATTAAAATAATTTATGGTATATTTTATGAATTTGCTTGATTTAGACTTTATTTTATTAAAGATTTTATTTATTTATTAGAACATGAGGCAGGGGGTAGGCAGAGGGAGAGGGAGAAGCAGACTTCCCCCTGAGCAGGGACCACCCCCGACGCGGGGCTTGATCCCAGGAGCCTGGGATCATGACCTGGGCCAAAGGCAGACGCTTAACCAACTGAGTCACCCAGGCGCCCCTAGACTATATTTTAATGTTAGCTGTATCTGTCACTATGGGACACTAGTTAATTTCAGTTTAATCTTTTTTTATCTTTCCCTTAACTTCAGATGGGCTGTGTATATGTGTATAGAGCAACAAAAGTTGCTCTCAATCTCCCACCTCAACTTCCGTATGTGATAAACCATAGAAATCACTTTTAGCCTCTTAGAGCTTAAGCAGATCGTTTTTGAGAGTTTCCCATCTCTGTACCTCTGAGAGTACAGGGATGGTTGCATGAAAGCAGTGGGCTTTCCTCTAACATTTTGGTTAATATGAACTTGTTTCTCCTCTTTTAGCTGTGCGGTCAGAGAAGAAACGCCTTAGGAAGCCAAGCAAGTGGCTTCTGGAATATACAGAAGAATATGATCAGATATTTGCTCCTAAGAAAAAACAAAAGAAGGTGCAGGAACAGGTGCACAAGGTTTGTTCCAACATTTTAATAGTCTTTTCATCAGTACTTTTAGGATATTGCAGTTTTGCCTTCAATATCATGTTTTGTCTGCATGGGATAATAATTTCCTTAACTGGGATCTTGCTTTTTCCATTTTTTACCACCAGTTTTTGGCACTACTTAGAATATACATGAAATGTATAAATGGCTCTATGCACTGTGAGTAGTATATGTATATTTAAATTTTTTTCTCCCTTTGTTTTCAGAGATTAATGATTTAGGAATATTATTATGACAAAATGTTTGTTAAAATTGTAGAATATAAAATATGGTAGGATCATAATTTTTTATTTTTTATTTTTTTTAAGATTTATTTTATTTGAGGGGCGCCTGGGTGGCTCAGTCGTTAAGCGTCTGCCTTCGGCTCAGGTCATGATCTCAGAGTCCTGGGATCGAGCCCCGCGTCAGGCTCCCTGCTCAGCGGGAAGCCTGCTTCTCCCTCTCCCACTCCCCCTGCTAGTGGTCCCTCTCTCGCTGTGTCTCTCTGTCAAATAAATAAATAACCTTTAAAAAAAAAAAAGATTTATTTATTAGAGAGAGCATGTAGGGGAGGGCCAGAGGGAAAGGGAAAGAGAGTCTGAAGCTGACTCTGTGCTGAACATGGGCCCCATGTGGGGCTCGATCTCACGACCCCGAGATCATGACCTGAGCCAAAGCCAAGAATCAGGCTCAACTGACTGTGCCACCAAAACCCCCAGGATTATAATTTTTTAAAAAATGCTATTGATACCTTATTTGCTTTATTTTTTAATTCAATTTTTAAAAAAATTTTTATCTAAGTAATCTCTACACCCAACGTGGGGCTCAGACTCATGACCCTGAGATCAAGAGTTGCAGACACTTCCAACTGAGCCAGCCAGGCACCCCTTAATTCAATTTTTTTGTTAAAGATTTTATTTATTCATTTGAGAGAGAGAGACAGACGGGCTGAGGAGAGCACAAGCAAGGGGAGAGTCAGAGAGAGGGAAACTCCCCACTGAGCTGGGAGCCAGACATGGGGCTCAATCCCAGGACCTGGAGATCATGACCTGAGCTGAAGACAGATGCTTAACCATCTGAGCCACCCAGGTGCCCCCCCTTAATTCAATTTTTTTAAGCTCAGTTACTTTACAGTGAATTAGAGACATTTTACCTTCTATCCCTAAATAATATGCACCTCTAAAAAATAGAGCATTTTCCTTCATAAATGATTTAATTTTACTGCATCTTATCAGTTTATCTAATAACAACAATTCCATATCAGATTTCCTCACTTGTCCTCTAACCTTTACATTTGGTTTATTAATTCTAGGACTACACATTTTATCTGGTTGTTAGAGTTCTTAAATTTCTTTAAATCCAGAACAGTCCCCCTTTTTTCATGACCCTATCTATCTAAGTAATGAGATACCTTTACAGTATCCCCCTTCTAGATTTGTGTGATTGCTTCTTCATATATTTCTTTTTTTTTTTTTTAAAGATTTTATTTATTTATTTGAGACAGAGAGAATGAGAGAGAGAGAGAGAGCACATGAGAGGGGGGAGGGTCAGAGGGAGAAGCAGGCTCCCTGCCGAGCAGGGAGCCCGATGCGGGACTCGATCCAGGGACTCCAGGATCATGACCTGAGCCGAAGGCAGTCGCTTAACCAACTGAGCCACCCAGGCGCCCTTCTTCATATATTTCACTAAACTTTTCTATCTCCCTTGTTATGTGGAAATTATAACTAACAATTTGATGGATTCAAGTTAAACAGTTTTAGCTAGATTAAAATGTAGGTGCTATTGTGTCATATATTGCATGACATTAGAAGCTGTCCAGAGTCCTGATTTCCTTTCTTTTAAGTCATTTTGCTCCCTTTGATCAAGAAGGAATATGTGGGGGTGCCTGGGTGGCTCAGTTAGTTGAGTGTCTGACCCCTGGTTTCAGCTCAGGTCATGATCTCAGGATCCTGGGATCAAGCCCTGCATTGGGCTGTGCACTCAGCAGGAAGTCTACTTCTCTGCCTCTCTCCCTCTGCCCTGCTTGCAGGCTCTCTCTGTCTCTAAAATAAATCAAATAAAAAAAATAAAATCTTTTAAAAAATGAAGCAGTATATCTGTAATTACTTTGGCTTCAAAAGAATGTCCTCTTCTCTATCCATCATTTCCCTGATGGTTTTTAAAAATTTCAATCAAGGGGTGCCTGGGTGGCTCAGTCATTAAGTGTCTGCCTTCGGCTCAGGTCATGGTCCCGGGGTCCTGGGATCGAGCCCTGCATCGGGCTCCCTGCTCGGCGGGAAGCCTGTTCTCCCACTCCCACTCCCCCTGCTTGTGTTCCCTCTCTCACTGTGTCTGTCAAATAAATAAAATCTTTCCAAAAAAAAAATTTTTTTTTCAGTCAAAGAATCCTTGTCTGGATCAATAATTTTATTAGGGGTTATAAAATGAAAAGTTTCAGATTTTATTATTTCTTCTACTTTTATTAGCTGGCGAACTCTCTCATTAACTGAACACTTTATTGTCTTGATATACATGAAAGGAAGCATAAATGCTTATTTCTTTCCTATAAATTTACTAACTTAACATTGGGAATTCATTATTAGCTGCTTTATTGGTGACATATTAGGAAATCTTTTTGTGGGTGGGGAGGGTTATCACTGGCATTAATGAATTTTTATAGCTTTAGTGTATCTCAACTGCATTTTTTCCCTTTTTAAAAATTTATAGTAAAATATATATAACAAAGTTTGTAATTTAAACACTTTTAGAGTATACAGTTCTGTGTCATTAAGTACATTCACATTGTTGTGAACCATAACCACCATCCATAATCTCTAGAATTTTTTCATGTTCCCAAACTAAATTTCTGTACCTATTAAAAAATAACTTCCCACTTTACTGTCCTCTCAGCCCCTGGCAACCACCATTCTATTTTCTTTTCCTTTTCTTCTTCCTCTTTTTTTTTTGAGAGAGAGAGCGCACACACACATGCATGTTGGGGAGAGGTAGGGCAGAGGGCCGAGAGAGAATCTTAGTCTCCATGCCTAGCACAGAGCCCAGTGTGGGGCTCGATCTCATGACCCTGAGATCATGACCAGAGCCAAAATCAAGAGTCCAATAGATGCTTAACTGGCTGAGCCACCCAGCCTCCCCCAATCTATTTTCTGTCTTGATGAATTTTACTGTTCTAGGTAAACCTCATCTACATAGAATCATACAATATTTGTCTTTTTGTGTATGGCTTATTTCACTTAGCGTAATATCTTCAAGGTTCATCCATGTTGTAGCATGTGTCAGAATTTCATTAAGTGTATTACTCTTTTTGACACTGAAATTATAGCAACTTTGGTCTATGGATTCTACTTTTATTTTTTGCTCTTAGGTAAGTTCCCGCTGTGAAGAGGAAAGCCTTTTAGCCCGATGTCGATCTAGTGCTCAGAACAAGCAGGTGGATGAGAATTCTTTGATTTCAACCAAAGAAGAGCCTCCAGTTCTTGAAAGGGAGGCTCCATTTTTGGAAGGGCCCTTGGCTCAGTCAGAACTTGGAGGTGGACATGCTGAGTTGCCACAGCTGACCTTGTCTGTGCCTGTGGCTCCGGAAGTCTCTCCACGGCCTGCCCTTGAGTCTGAGGAATTGCTAGTTAAAACACCAGGTAAGATGGGGATGGGGTCTCAGAATGTAAGTAGATATGATTTTAGCATGTTGTGATGAAAAGCCAATAGTGAATCTCTGTACAGCAAGCTACCCACATTTGTCCTGGGAAATCCTGAAAGTGCTGGCTAATTGGATATAGTTAATGACCATGAATTGGTGGTATACTGTCCAGAAGACATGTTTTAAAAACAATTCTCCTTACTCCACTGTTACTCTTCATGTTTGTTGATCAAACACATGTGAGTCAACACTTAGGATAGCAGGGTTTGGGGGAGGGGCGCTACACACTAATAAACACATGAAACTTATGCTTCAGATAACTAGCTCTGTCAATTCTTATGTTACTTAGGAAGTTGTTTAACCTCTGAACTTGTTTCCTCTTTTATAAAATGGACATCATAATGTAATTTACCTGATACATTGTAAGTAGCTAAATGTAAATATTCCCTTTAAGTTAATTACCAATTGTTTTTCACTTTATCATTCTTTGTATACATGTCACCTGGTGTGAGTTGAATCTAAACATACTGTCTCTAATTACCTTCTGATTTTTTAATATTGTAGTCACTCAAGGAAAATTTTGGATGTAACTTTTTTATATTCCCAACAATAGCTTGTGATGATATTCCTTTTATTAAAAAAAAAAAGTATCCCAATTGTGTTTATTAATCAAGTAAGACAGAATCAAAAAGACTTTAAAAATAGTAAAGATAGTTACTATTTCGTAATTTAGCATGTACCAAACTCTGTTATTAGGCTCTTGTATATGATTCTTAAGAACAGTCCTACAAAGTAAATGTGTTTTTTGTTTGTTCAGGAGCAGAATAAAAATTCTAATCTTGGTCCTATTCCCGAAATTCAGGCTCTACCCCACCTCACTTCTCTTTTTGTCCTTACTATCAATTAATTATTATAAAGATAGTTCTGCCCTTTTGATTTCTCCCTTAGTCCTTTGATGATACACACACAGACACACCCACAGACGTAAGAACATTTTCAGATTCGTTTGTGTTTGTATTGAGAATTGTTTTCCTGTTTTTTCATGTTAACTAATATTTTAGAATAAATAAATACATTCCTATCCTGCCCCTCCCCAGAAGATGAGGAGGAAAACATAAAAAATATGGTGACTCATTTTTCTGTGGCATATAAATTTTTTTTAATTAGTTTGTGCCTAGTTTCTAAATCATCTAATGAAAAGATACATGCATTTCAGGAAATTATGAAAGTAAACGTCAGAGAAAACCAACTAAGAAACTTCTTGAATCCAATGATTTAGACCCTGGATTTATGCCCAAGAAGGGGGACCTTGGCCTTTCTAAAAAGGTATGTTATTTTAGTCAATTCTAAAATATGATTAAACCATGTAAATATGGGATTTTAAAAACAAATCTTTTAGTATATGTGCTGCTGAAGCGAGCACAAAAAAAACAAATCTTTTAGTAATACTTAGTTAGCAACATTGATGCACACATACAAAGACATTACAGAATGGCAGAGTATACTTGTTTGGTCTAAGAGCTCCTATATTGAGAAGCTGTTTTGCATTTTTGTGGATATGAGTATCAGTTGGTTTTAGATGTTCTTTTCAAGTGAAAATGAAAAGAGCTTTTAAGATTGACTATAGTGTGTGTGTGTTGTCATTTTTTTTCTGGGATTAAAACCTCACCTGCTTTCTACCTCACGTCTGTCTCTGTGGGCCACTAACCTACTCTTATCCCGTTGCCTTGTCTGCATAACACCTCAGAAAAGACTCCGCTCATTTATAAACCAGGCAGAAACATTTGAACCTAAGTTTTTGAGTTTGCAAACATCGTTTCTATTGGCCAGGAAGGCATCATTAAATAGTAGATGGAAATAGAAGGTTATTTTCCTGGATATTAATTTTTAGGGAACATCCTGTTGCCCATATGTTTGAGGAGTAACTCAGTGTGTTAGAAATTCAGTTGTTAGGGTGCACAGATTTCCTATTAAAATTTTCTTTCTTTAAAGGAAAAATGCAGATTGTAAGCAAATCAAATATAGAGTTTTTAGACTTTCATCAGCTATAACAGGCTTCTATCATTTAATCCTATATTGAGGATCCTAGTTTTTGTTTTTGTGAGTTATTCACCCATCTGGATTAGCATGTAATTGTAAAACTTAATTTATTCGTGTTTTTGTACCTCATTTTAAAGTCTGCATTATATCCTTTAAGTCTTTTACTCTTCTCAAAGTTCATTTCCTAAGACATGTCCTGGTAAGGCTGTGATAGTTTCCTTCTGCAGTGCTTTCTCTCTTGACTTTGTCTTATTCAAATCTTAGCCACTTGCAAGATTGTTGGAAGAGGTGGATGGTAAGGGACAAGGAAACTATGATTCATTTGAATATTTTGCATGGAAGTAACATTTGCTATCAGGTGATAAATTTAGTAGTATTATACAAGGTGAATTATGTAAGGCTGTTGCATTACTGCTACAGGTGAGATAATGACAAATTTTAAAGAAAATAAGAATTAGGGCCAGTTTAGTGAATGATATTTTACCTGTTTTATTGAGATATAATTGACATACATAAGTTAATGATTTGATTAATGTGTATAATGAGCATTTGGAAATTCACCGCTGTATTTTAGCTTGTTTTGACCTCAAAATTTAGGAACTTTATAGCAAGAATAGCATCTGTTATGTTGACTTTTTGTGGCCACTAAATTTTGTTTGACATTCCTGCTGAAGAATATTTTTATTGTAGAAGACACTTGCTTGGACTGGAACTAATTCATACAAGCATTAGTAGTAGGGGAATAAAATGTGTAGGAAATTACTCTTGATGTCTGAGTGTTTTGTTTTGAGTTTTAATGTTGCTTTCATTTATATTAATCTACAGCCAATTAAATTAGAAAGACATTCCATGATTCAGAGCTTTCTGGTGTATGGGCTGCTGAAGTGAGCACTGATTCAAAGCTTTTTAATATTTAGAATTCATCAAATAAATTTGTGTAAAATCTAATGGCTATAAATGCAGTCTTAAGAAGATAGATTTTAAATGCAGGGTGGTATGGAATAGAAATGAGATGGTGGGTCTCTGGAAATATACCCTTTCTCTTTGTCTGCCACTTCAATCAGAGCACCATTCTGTATCTGCTTGATATATTGGGAATCTCTGGTTAACCCCCACACCCCAAAGGAGTGTGTGTTTGTATGAGTCTTTTGGAGTTTTTTTTTTGGTGTGTGTTTTTGATGTCTTTTTTTCACTGTGTAGTTTCTGTTCAACCCATTATTATTAATACTGTTTATTTAATTGTCAGAAACAGCCAGGATTTCTGTATCTGTGATAATAGTTCATATTTGGCATATAATATAAAGGGTTTATTTTCTGTTCTTCTGTAAATCTGTTGCATTTTGTTTATTTGTAGTGTTATGAAGCTGGTCACTTGGAGAATGACATTAATGAATCACGTGCTGCATCTCATTCTAAAGAGTATGGTGGAGGTGCGTATTTTTGAGATTTAAAAAAATGTAATGCATGGGGCGCCTGGGTGGCTCAGTCATTGGGTGTCTGCCTTTGGCTCAAGTCATGATCCCAGGGTCCGAGCCCTGCATTGGGCTCCCTGCTCATGGGAAGCCTGCTTCTCCCTCTCTCACTCCCCCTGCTTGTGTTCCCTCTCTCACTGTGTCTTCTCTGTCAGGTAAATAAATAAAATCTTAAAAAAAAAAAAAATGTATTGCAAAATAACTATGAAGCACCTTGTCAGCTAACTAGAAAAGTTGTTACATATGTAAGCAAGACCAGTGAGGTTGCAACTTCCAAGACTTATTTGCCCAAGGGGCACCTGGCTGGCTCAGTTGGAAGAGCATGAGACTGTTGATCTCAGGGTCATGAGTTTGAGCCCCCACATTGGGTGTAAAGATTACATAAAAATAAATAAAATAAGATAAAATCTAAAGAAAAAACCCAGACTTGTTTGCCTGAATATGCTTCCTAACATGATGCATGCACTAGAAAGCTGGATGGTCATTTTCAGCTTTATGCTGAAATTAGTTACATGGAATTAGAATTATATTAGAGTAAGGAAAAGTTAGGAACAATAAAGAAAAATCTGCTACTTAATTTTCTTATTAGATGATTCTCTAACTGTAATCATTACTTTCTTGGCTTTGATTCAGTTTTTATTCTATAGGACAGAAAATGTGGAATCTGAGTTGAGAGGGAAATTACAAGTCATCTAAGCCTATTTCTCACAAATAGTCTTAGTTTCTTTCTTCTTTTTTTTTTTTTTTAAAGATTTTATTTATTTGACGGAGAGACACAGCGAGAGAGGGAATACAAGCAGGGGGAGTGGGAGAGGGAGAAGCAGGCCTCCCGCAGAGCAGGGAGCCCGATGTGGGACTCGATCCCAGGACCCCGGGATCATGACCTGGGCCGAAGGCAGACGCTTAATGACTGAGCCACCCAGGTGCCCCTAGTCTTAGTTTCTTTTGTCACATCTATGATTTTTGGTGAGTGAGCATATGCTTGAAAAAGACAGGTTATATTTTGAGTGTGGTCCATGTGGTTGCTTCTTTTAAGGGCTTGGATATCTTTTATATTTTATATATATTTTTTGGAATTTATTTTTTTAGGGAGAGTGCGAGCACGGAGGGGCAGAGGGAGAAGGAGAGAGAATATCCTAAGCAGGCTCTACCCTCAGCCCAGAGCCCAACACAGGGCTCCATTCCACGATCCTGAGATCATGACCTGAGCTGAAATCAAGAGTCAGATGCTTAACTGACTGAGCCACCCAGGCACCAGGCTTGGAAATCTTTTAGATTGCATTTGAATCTGACTCCTGAAAGTTATACATGTTGATCTTGGTTCTGCCTATAGGAGGAATATGCAGCCCGTCATTCAGTAACAGATAGAATATCGTAGTTTGAGCATTTCCTCTACCAGATCCTTTGTTTGCTCAGTCCATTGCTTTAGAACTGTTAAC